TCTATAGAGGCCGCCATGTTGAACCGCCATTTTTCTACAGTAGTCCAGAACGAACAAACCAAACACTGGCTCTACCATCACTTTCTCTGCTTCATGTAATTTTTGCATCTCTTCCACAAATTTCCCCTTTGAGCCGGAAGCACTCTGATTTCTTGAATATTTCTCTCCTCCATCCTGTCAAGAGCATGGCCTCATTCTGTCTCTTTTCTAGCTTCAGCTCCAGTCTTATCTTTTCTCTCTTTTAGAAGTTCCTGTCTCACCTCGTACCTTATAACAAGTGTTACAAGAATCAAGTATGCGCTAGGTTTGCTATTAATATGGGATGTCTAGGTAATGCCATGCTAAAATTGGGTATAGGATGGTGTACTGTATGTATTGAAGAGTACCCAGTATGTTACCCAAAAAGTTCAATTCTGTGCAAGTCATTAGCCAGAGCAAAGTTGGTGTTCTCACTCACTTCACACAGAGGACTATGAATTACTTAAATGGAGACAAATTAAGTTTTTTTTTTTTTTTTGTCTTTGTCCTAGAAACTCAACTGATAATAAATAATAAAATAACTTGCTGGCCAAGTTTATTCTCCAGAGCTGACCTCAGTAATTAACATGTCGCAGCATTCCTCAAGTTTCTCTGTTTATATTGAACAATGAATCCCAGGGGACATCATTCTTAACATTAAAATATTGATCAGCATTCATTAACTTACATTTGATACCAAAAATAAAAGTTTTATCATAGTTTTAACAATGTTTTCCAGAAGCATTAAGTAAGCAGTCATTACAGTTTTTGCAATATTGTTTGAGCCATTGTTTAGCCAGCGTATAGGCCTATGTGGAATCATACTTTAAGCAGACCTGATTTAATACGTCACAAACACTTTTAGGCATCTCACCTTTGGTCAAGTGTGACTTATTTTAGTTGCACCTGCCTCTTACAAACCTGCTGTTTAAAACCACCGTCCCCAAAAAATGACCCTGCTGTTTACAACATTCACTGTGTACTTGTCAATTAGTAACTAATTTATTCTCTTGGTATGTTGGCAGTAGATTACCATGTTACTCCACTGTCTGTTGATGTATTGGTACACGGTTTTGAGTTGACACAAAAACAGAAAATAGCTAAACCTCTCCCCTGGTGCCTAAGCTTTCATTGGTGGTGTGAAAGAAGAAGCGACAAGTCAAAGTCTGCAGAAAGAATGTGTTTGTGGAATGTGAATAAATGTCTCACAGTGCTTAAGTAACAGATGTTAAAGGGATAGGAAGCGTTCTTAAATAGTTAATCTCATTGTTTTTAACTGCAAGGTCCTCCCAGTTTTAAAGTTTAATGCACTTTTTATTTCTTGTTCTTGTTTTTCTTTTTTTTAAGCCAGTGCTTCTGAAAAGTACTGAAGCTGAAGAAAAATTAGATTCTATACAACCATAGCAATTTCTCAAATTTGCTATTTATTATTTAACACTACCTTGCTGTTTAAAATGTGTCTGCATAACACATTTTTAGTCCCACTTGCTTGTATTAAACACTTTTGCTGACAAATGGTAATGTCTTTATCCATATAAAACAGAACAGCTTTGGTACAGATGTATTTTGTCATACATGAAAGAATCTGTTATGTTACATAGGTTGTCTCAAAAACCTGGACCGTCCCCAGTAAACAGTTGGTCAGTGAATATATGACATGAACTGGTCATTCTAAAAAACATTTGTACTGATTGGCAGATGAGGGGTTAATCCTGCAGGGTTTTTCTTTTTTTTTTTTTAACTGGAAGTGTTTTATTGGCTAACAGTGGGCGTGCTCTTCAGTGCTGGCAAACACATTTTACCTTAGACAGGTAAGAACATTGAAAGAGGAAGAAAGAGAGGAAGACAAGGAAAGAACACATGCAGGAAAATACTCTTTTTCACCAGACCAGCTTGCAATTCCTGCTCTTCCTAGAATGTGAATTCAGCTTTGCCTTGTATTTAAGGTTTCCTTATGGGAAGCTGTGTGAGCAAGTACAGTGGGTAAGAACTGAAATCCTTTTCTTTCATTCACTTCTGTAAATACCTGTGACCATCCGGGCCATTTGAAGTCATATTGACTTAATAGGGAGGAGAGCTTTTTGAGATTATGTGATCTGTGTTTTAGAACAGAGATTGTACATTGCTTGCAGCAGAGGTCTGAGAAACAGCAAAATACACTAGGGCAGCTGTATGCTATCTGAACAAGTCAGGTCCTGACATTGAATCATGTAGCAGCCTTAAAGGTATTTATTGTGTCACCGGCCTCCAGGTGTGTATCAACACTGTATGTTTTGTCCATACAGGATTATGTGCTGGAGATACTTTGTTTTTCAGTAGGATTAATGTTAGTTGTAGCCTTGTGTAAGATACAGTACAGTGTGTCCAGTTAGTTGAAACCAGAACCATGACATCTATTAATGTCGTCAGAACAAGGAAGAATAAAAGAGGAAACTGAGTTAACATGTACAAGTCAGGCCACCAGAAAATGATTTATGCTAAACTCTCTGCAATTGATTGCAGCACACTGCACTATACAGTAGGCTGTTTCATTTGAAATTATACTCAGTGTTTATGCCTCCATCTTATCACAGTTTACTTACTCTTTTTTTTTTTAGTTGGCACTGTGATGGGCCTTTTTATATCAACTGTCTACTGCTGGCAAGTGCTAAAGTAATGCACTCTGGCAACTCAGAGGCTATTGATCAGCTCTCTTTAAAAGAGACACAGAGGGCTTATGGTCTACAAAGACAGATCATAAACATGTCAGATCTAATGCTTTCCTCAGACACAGTGCCCCAGGGTAGAGACTGACACACGAGCAGCTGGGTGTTTTCTTCAAGTTCTCATTTTTCTATCACGTCATGGTGAGAATACTGCAATAATACTTTTGTTGCTTTTAAAGAACATCACTGCTTTCACATGAACTCCTTGTCTCCAAAGTGCCAGCGCAATAGCAATTGTACTCAATGTTTTCAGGTTAGCTTCCATTGTGTTTGGATTTGTATTCCAACTATGTCAGCATCAGTTTCAGCTTGAAGTGAAACCGGAAAAATGTCTTGGCAGTAATTTATTTATGTCGCCATTAACCTTTTTGTACTGTTAATAATGCAAACCTTTTCGAGGAACAAATGATGGGATTGTTTTTCCACTGTATACTGTTTTTTTAATCATCTTAAAAAGCATTCTATTTCTGTTCATTTTAAACTTAATTCAATGTGTCTTACTGAATTGCGTATCTTCAACATGACACACAAGTGCCTAAAATTATTATTCAGATAAATTCTCTTTATATAACTATAATAAAGGCACACCAGAAGGCTTTAGCACTTGATTTTACACTATTCAAGACTGGCTGTGAATAACTGGCCAGCTTGTTAGTGATAGAAGAATTTAGCTCCTATTGCCTGTACAGTAGATGCTATAAACAATATGCTACAGGCCCTAAACATTCAACTGGACAACGCCCTCTCTGAGCTGTCATCTCTAGTACTGTACTTTTTCTTGACTGGGACTTTTTCCTATGATCATCATCATTCGTCATAATAGGATCATGTGTAATCACCATTGTAGTGCAAGGAAATGACACATCTGATATTACAAACATTACTCCCAACTTGCCGCACCCACAACAACACCTGTCGGCTATAAAAACCGGTCTGAACTTTTTGTGACCTTTTTTGTTTTATTTATTGTTCAGCAAGACGGGAAAGATAATAGATAAAGAAGATTCAAACTCATAACGGCAGTGCCAGAATAGTGAAACAGATGGCAGGGCCACTTGCTTAAGAGCTAGGTAACAGGTATTTTCTGTCTTACAATGGGGGTTAAAATATACAGTAGTTTAGCGTGTCACCCAACCTGGGTGGTCACAACCCAGGTGGCCTGAGGCTGTAGTGCCTCACACAGGTCACACTGAAAGACCGTGGCTCAACTGTTATCAGATCAGAAGGCAGTGACTGGGTCCTTTTAGTTTCTTATTTACTGTGATCAGAAGGCCAGACTGATCCCAGATGGCTCTAGATGAAACACCAGCTGTTTATGGGTTTTTTTTTTTTTTTTTCAGCATAGAGAAGCAAGACACAGTTATGCAGGTGACTGTGAAAAAAAATCTGGTTGTGACTTGATGTTGTAGTTAACTTTAATTAAAAGGGAAGGCTTTGTTGAAGAAAATGCTCCTTTTTAGCTTCACATGATATTGTGCAGCTACAGTTACTCTTTACTCATGATTCAACCAGTTGGGCAATTATATTGTATGTTTAGTGTTTTGTTTTTAGTACTATATTGCAACATTATTTTACTTCAATGTATTAGATCTGGATAGGATTGTTCTCTGTACAATCCTCTAATAATATAGGCTTAGCAGCTCTTTAGGAGCCAATGTCTGAATTTTTATCTCTAGCAAAGTGATTTATGGCATTACAGTATAGCAGTTAGTTGAAGATGTTTGTCACAGAAAAAGAAAAAACTTGAATAATCATACAGCAATCGTATCACATACATAATCTGACTAAAATGTGTTTGTGTATCGCACATGATTTAAAAAAACTGCTCCATAGTGGCCATAAGTGGTCAAAACCTCCACATGCTACCTTTAAATTCATGTCAGAATAGATTTTTTTACAGTGCAATAATATGGTGATGCACACAGGCCTTATGGCCAATTGTGGTTCTGTCACTTCCTTCTCTGGCAGCAACGAGCTACAGTATTATGACAAGTCTCTTCATAGCATCCCCAGGGCTTTCACACTGTGATTGGAGTCACTGTGCACTCTCAACTCTCCAGTGATAACACACCCTGAGTAACTGTAAGATATGACCCAGATTTCCACTGTCAGTGTAATATGAAGAATATGGCATCCTGTTGTAATAGGGGAACATTATGTATTCATCTGCTGTAAGTCATCCTGAACAACAGCATTACAACACAGACATCAAACACAACAAATCATATGGAGGACAGGCATCGTGGTTCATAATGCTCTCACACCATAATGCTCACATACATTTCTTGAGGTGTCAGTTTGCATCAATGTCGCTGCATTATAAATATGTCAGTCAGCAGACAAGGAGATCACGATTATGTTTTTGATTCGTTTTTTATTCTTTAGTCTATCTTGGTAAACGTCATGGTTCATTATTCTTCAGGACAAACAGAATGCCTCAGTGCACTCCTCGAGCTTTGTGATGTATCTGATTGAAGGGGAAAAAAGAGTGCTAATAATCACATTCAAGTCTCTCACCTTATCATCACACCTTTTGCTCAATCTGTCGTGGCGGAGTTAGATGAAAGTCATCTCACCTCTTCAAACACCGTAAATCATAGCCACTTACTGTTACAGAAGGATCTTCAAAACATATTATCACACACCACTCTGATCTGCTTTGCCTTTTTCCTCAGGCGATGTATGTGTAGTTGCATATGAAACACATCACGGCTTTAACCCCACTTATTACTGTGCTGGCTTCAATTCACCACATACTGGGAAGAAGAAAGAAGTGAGCTGCTAAGGAGATGCAGACAGTGATATGACAGATTGGAAAAAACTGACCAAATTGTTTGTGTGCATTTTGTTGCCGTCATGTGATGTTAGATACAGTTATCTATTATAAGCAAAATGAATCCCTTATTAATAGCAGCTCATTTATCATCTATAAACTCTACTGTCTCCACAATAAAACTCAGTGTCATCATCCTGTTCACTTCTGACTTGCTTTGCTGATACTACCATGCAGAATTAAACCTGGTCATCCACAGAACAATCAAAGCAGTGGCAAAATCTTATCATAGATTACAAACAAAGGAAAGAAAACTAATTTAACTGTTAATGACTGATAATTGAGCAAGTATTCCACATTTCCATAACTAAACAAGGCATGCCTCTCTGTCATCTGCAGCCAGGTGCCAGTCAGTGCCAGCAATGTCAGGGATCGGGAGCTGCCCGGTGCTGCCTCCCTGCCTGCCAAAGTAAATCTGGGGCTGGTGCTTGGGGAGGCCGAGCAGGGCCATGCCAACCAGGTTGCCCCTCCAGCCTCAGCCAGCGAGGGCAGCGCCAGCCTCGGAGAGCCGGAGGAGGACGGGAATCACTCCCATCACTCCCACTCTACTGCCTCCAGCCAATGCAGTGCCACCTACAGCAACCTAGGTAAGAATGACACACGATTTCTTGATTTCTTGAACTTATGTGTGTGTATGTTTGCTGTAGATGACTGACAAAGCTGAAAACATGTACTTAAAACAGTGCTTAACTGTGCTGTGTAGGTGAGTGGGGGTTCCACACAAGTCTGCAAGCTTTTGTTGTCCAAATGAGCATGTTTCTTCTGCGTAGGAGTGTTTTTATAATCATCTCACCACAAAATGACAGTACAGTATAACCACACTTCTTTATGCATTAACTGATTCCGAAATGTGTTTGTTTCCTTCTGCAAAAAGACACTGTTTGCTTGCAGCTTAGAATATACTTCTCACAAGAAAAAGGTGAAGAGAAACATGTAAGCTGCTGATAGTCCACCACAGTCCCTCAGCAATTTAAAAAAGCTATACACAATGAAACACACCATGTGTCTCTATATGGATGTTCTGTTTAGCATTGTTGAAAGAGTAACAGGAGTCACCGGATGACTATTTCCAGAATATGTCAGTCCTCAGTGCCTGCACTTCGCTTCACTCCTAAAGAGCTGATTTTGCTTTTCTTCAGCATCAGCACACCTCCACATGTGACAAGTCATAATTTATGCCCTGCTAAAACCGCTGGAGCTCAAAACGTCAACACATCCTGTCACCCACAGCCTGCAACCTGGAAGTCAGAATAACTTGAAATATGTTATTTCAGCTAGAGGTGGAAATCTTTGCCCTCAGGTTAGTTCTTTGGGCCCCATTCTCATGCGGGCCATTGCTTTAGGACATTTATTGGACATGCAGAAATGTACAGCGAGTGGATCACTCACATAAATCATAAATCCTTCTGTTTTCAACTCTTTGCACTATTTTCCATCTCATTGCCTTGTGTTGTGTTTCTGAAAACCGTATTTGATATGATTGAGTTTAGAGTGGGGCTACATTAATAACCACATTACAGTTACCTAGATTACATATTGCACAACTGACCGCAGCACTGCTATTAATGTCATAAAAGCTTTTATACCTACGTATTCTTTCTGAGACTAATTATTATACTGTCCTTGTTTCCTGAATTCCTAATCGTATTGTCTGACACTGCATAGTTTAAGTTTGAAGAAGGCATGGAAGTCTCTGACACCTCCACATGAATGAGGTGTCTCCTCCACTTGCAGTACACAAAGTTAATATTTTCTAGCAAATACAAACTGCTTCCAGTAGGAATAAAAAGACTTGTAAATGGACACAGTGAGTGGAGTCAGAAGAGCAGACACACAAAGAAGCTAATTTAGGAAATTAAAACATTTGGATTTCTGTTTTTGCTACCTTATTCTTAATGTCTGCAACATAATTTGAAGTTAAACAGTGGTGTTTAAATTACCGAGAATTCTTTAAGATTGCTTTTTTTTGGTTGTAAAAGCAAGATAACAGATAATCATCAACAGGCACAAGCATATCTATAAATCTTGCAGGTGCCTCTACTATCCCAAAAACACAGAATTCACTCAGGACTCCTGTCTCATTCTCACTTCGTCTGTTATTCTACATGGACATGCTTCAAACAACATTTCCGTTTGATCGTTGTTGAGTGGTTAAAATTTGGAGCAAGACAGCAGTGCGCAGATTGTTAATTTTTTTTCTTTTTGAGAGCAAGAAATAAAAATGGCAATAGGGAAAAATTTATATTCATGGTTAATATTTAATTCCTTCAGATTTTTGTCTCTGCAGAGAAAATATCTATGTTAAATGACAAATAGGCCCACATACCCTCTCTCTGCTTTTTAATACTACTGCAGACTGCAACATTACATTCATCTTAACACCACGCTGACAAAGCTCATCCATCACAGTCCCCATTTTAGAGACTGTTTGAGACTAGCTGACAGTGGACAGTTCATCATTAGACATTAGACAGTTTTTGATGGTGGTGGAACGATGAGCACGTCAAGACCAGACTTTTACAGTACCGGGGAGGAGGAAGAGAGAGATGGGCACAGCTGTCAAACATACTGTAGCTGAGCACTTAAAACATGAAGCTCTCTGTGTGTGGGAAAGGATCTTGCTGTGATCAAGTGGTGTGTGAAACAAAAAGAAATAGAAACACAAAGTGGTGTAGTGGGGAAAGTGTGGGTTTTTTTTGGAAAAGATGCACTGCTGAGGTGCTTTACTTTGTCTCTTTAAAAGGTGTGTGGGTTTTACTTTCTTGTTAAAGGATTCATCAGAGACAAAGTGTTAATTTGTGTTTGTGTGTCATTGCTGCACTAATTAGAAGTGTGTATGTGTGGTGGGCGGCTGTGGCTCAGGAGGTAGAGCGGGTCATCCACTAATCAGAAGGTTGGCGGTTTGTTTCGTGGTTCCTCCCTCTGCATGCCAAATACTGTTAATCGGTGGATGAATGTGTTAATTTCTGCTTGTGATGGCCTTTTCTATCACTGTGTGAATGTGGCATGTAGTGTAAAAGTGCTTTTAGTGATCAGAAGACTAGAAAGGTGCTATACAAGTACAGTCCATTAACCATTTACCATTGAAATCGCGTATGCTGTGTGTGTGTGTGCGTGTGTGTGTGCGTGTGTACTTGTAAAGCTCAGAATGCACACCTGCTACTGTGGATGGATAGATTGTGAATTGTTAAAAGCTCCCTAGATGAGACATGATGAGCTGCCTGCAGCCAGATTTTACTCTTCTGCATGCTGCTAATGAGAGACAAAGGCAGGAGTGTGTGTTTGTGTGTTTGTCTGCCTTCAGTACAGTATTTCATTTTTAATTTTTGTTTGGGAGGGTGTGTGTGGCCTTCAAAATTAATAACATAGCCACTGAGTGTGAAGTTTCCACTTCTATCTCTTCTCTTTTGCTCGACAGAATAGCAGAAATAGAACTGAACTGCCTCCACTCGCTCTGCTGTCCACTTTTGGCTCGAGCAATACTTTCTGTTCACACATTTTAGCGGAGAATCACATTCACTTAACAAGCACAAGTGTGTCTCTCTGACTGGCTATATATACGGTATATACACACACTTGTGTTTTAATCAGAGCATCGGCAGTAGGAGGCAGAGCACTCGCTGCTCACTCAGTGAGAAATCTCCAGTATGGGTGGGAGCGTTGAGCCTGCCTGTTGGCACCAGCGGCTCCGCACAGACTCTCAGGGATGGAAGCAGAGAAAAGCATTTTACTCTTTCTCACTGCACAGCTGCTGCACTGCATTTACCTAAAAACTTTGACGCATTAGTGGAACTGAGGTAGGCTTGTTTTTTCTTGTTTTTCCTTTAACTCTCAGTATTCATCTCTTTAATAACCTGTTTATCCTCCTGTGTCTGCTGCTCACCCTTCGCTTTCTTGTATTTCTCTTTCTCTGTCATTTCCTTCACTTTTTCCACCTCTAGCCACCCACTCCAGTGCTCTCTCTTCATTCCTCCCTGCTGTTCCTCTGTACTCTACCCACCTCCTCATCACCTCCTCTTGTTACAGTGTCAAGAGTTTTATTGCAGCACGATGACTGTAATCTGTAATCACTGTGCTACGGCAACAAGTTCCTTCATCCTCTTACTGTACAAACAAATGTTGGAGAATACTGGTCTCTAAAACTGTGAATGGAATGCCTTCATATCCCTTTTTCACTAGTGTTTTATATAGTTTACAGAGGAAGTCAGTTTTCTTTAAATTTTCAAGTGTTATCTGTATTTTCTCAAGTGTGTGATTAGATGACTAAACAATACGTTATTTTCTACCATTTGTGAGTTTGAATTTACATTCTAATTAGACTTAAATAGAAAGGAAACTATTAATCCAGCTATGCTAAAGAATGTGTGTTAGAAGCCATCTTTACTGCAACTTCTCGTGTGTGATGATAATGATAATATAACAATTCACACTTATTGATACCCAGGAAATAGAAATGCAAAATAGGGAAATAGTTGTTTTAGACACATTAGGTTCTGTGTTTCAAGATAGGAACTCTTCACTGTTTCACCAGGTCAAAAGACCTGTACTTTAACAGCATTGTGTTTTAAATAGTCAAATAATTTTAATTAATAAATTATCCTGAAAATGTGTAAATAAAAAAGGGGGAAGATGAATCACTATTGTAAATTATAATTAGCTGCAACCCTAATTTTGTTATGTTGTTTGTAAAGTGATCTGTTCATATAAGCCATATGGGTATTTGAATCCCTCCATGCATGTGGTTTCATCATCATATTTATTTCTGTGAATTACAGTTACAAAAAAGTTTTGAAATGACTGAGTCAGTCTTATGTAATTAAGTTAAGTCTCGGCTACATTGCTGCAATAGACTGGACGAGGGAGACGGTTGTTTTCTTGGATGCATTACTGCAGATTGGTGAACATGTTCCAGGGAGGATTACCAAGACTCATTTACTTTATCCTGACTGCTCTTTCTTAAGACTTCTTCTGCTTTCCTAAGATGATGGCAGTGTGACGCCACGTGAGGAGTTACTCATACCGTTTAACAAAAATTTGTAATCAGTACCATTTGTACTGTGCAAAGATAAACCGTTTGTTCAAGCAGATTCCTTTACTGTAGGGGCAGGAAAAGTCATTTGGCAAGAGATGTGACTTTGAAAGACATCATCTTATAACACTCTGCAGCCTCTCGTCTTGATCTTCCAGGAAATTGGGGTGTTCTCTGGTGAGCAGAAAGCTGCGCAGTAGGGTTGTCTCTGACCTTGTACATCCACTCAGTTAAAACTACCAGGCTGTTTCATTCCCATCATAAAAGCGACACGACTGCTTTGATCGTTTCATCTTATTATACACGTGTGTGTGTGAGACCCATGTGTCTCTGTGGTCCTCAACTCCAGAGAACACAGAGGGAGTCCAATCAACCCCTCAACCCACCAATTCCCCCCCATCACCATCCCAGAAAAAGGTCACTTCAAGCCACTGATAAATGTGCTCTCCATGCTGCCTCTTTAAGCCTCACTGCAGAACAGAATTGCAAATTGAGTCGGGCAGCTGGATGGTTGGAGGGACGACTTGTGCCCAGCTGTCCTGCTCTCTGGCTTGAATTTTCCTCAGGCCACCAGTTCCCTCACGTGCCACAGCACACAACCTCGTGTCAGCCTCGTCTTAACGAGAGGCAGCTAGCCAGCGGGTGGCTGGGAACACCATGTGGGTGAAAAAAAGAAGCTCTGGGGATGAGGGTGGTGAAAGTGTACGCAATGATTTGTTGCTCAGGTGTAATTTTGAGCCTTTTTCAGCTGTTGAGTTCAGCTGACATATTTTTTTTTTGTTTTATCTTTTATAAAAACCCTTTGATCAGACCATTAGAACCAGTTTTGACAGCTGAAATCACAAAATGTTTACAGTGAATGTGTTCTGCCCACAGGAAAATAGATAAAAGATGAAAGAATAAAACCAACCAAAACATGTCATCTAAACGGCAACAAGTGGCTAATCCTTAGAGAGATGAATTCACCAGCTTCAGATATTTTGCTTCCTTCAATTGGTATAAAGTTCAGTGCTAGGGCAGTAATTTAATGTAGTAGTCGGATGAATTCTTAATTAATTATTTTTCATGCTGTTATCTTTCTTCCCCTCCAGGTCAATCCAGAGCCAACATGATCCCACTGAAACAGCCACGGAACATCAAAGCATCCAACGATACCTTGGCTTCCATCGACCTGGACAGCCTTGCCGACCAGCCAGTTTCTAGGGCCACACCACCACCGCTACCTAAGAAGGCTGTACCCCGTTCGAGTACTGAACCCAGCCTGGGAGGCAAAGAGCAAGCCCAGGGAGCCCTGAGACCACGGGCTGAGGCTAAACCTGGCGGCACCAACCTGAGCGTAGCCAACCCTATCTATGACTTAGACTCCACCTGGGAGACAGCTAGCCAGAGCTCCTCTCTCAGCTCAGAACCTCATCGTGTCCATGACCACGAGAGCGGTGACTCGCTGGAGAGGCCATCAGCTGCCACTGCTGCCGCCAAGGGCCGCTCAACTAATAGCATGTCCTCCCTGGTTCCTCAACCTGCATCGGCTGCCCCCAGCGCCACCACTGGCAGAGAAAGGAGGGTCTACCCCAGTACTGAGTCTTTGGCTGGAAGGGGTCGGACAGCAGGTCGAGGTGCTGCTGGTGGAGGAGCAGGCTGCAAACCCCAGAGACCTGCTCTTTACAGGGGATTAGACAGCTGGGATGAGGTGGTGGGAAGGATCCGGGGGCTCCACACGGACACACTGCGGAAGCTGGCAGCAAAATGCGAGGACCGTTTCATGGCTGGTCAGAAGGATCACTTGAGATTTGGCACTGACAGCTGGTCCCACTTCAGGCTGACTACTGGGAAACCGTGCTGTGAGGCGGGGGATGCTGTGTACTACACTGCCTCCTACGCCAAGGACCCACTGGTCAACTATGCTATCAAGGTGAAATGTCTGGTTCTGTTTATAGATCTTTTTTTCTTTTCTTTTTTTTTTGCCGAAAGGAGAATATTAAAACGTGCTTCTTTGGGTTTCAAAGCAAGACATTTAAAGATACCACCTAAATCATTTAGTAAAGAAATAAATAGGAAATTAATCAGTAATGATTTGTGACTAATAAATATTTGCTTGTTGCATTCCTAGTCTGCAAACTTCATATGAAACCAGTCTGTTGTATTAGAGACCCTATATACAAATATCTTAATTTAGTGCAGTTTGTATTAGGTAATACTATACACCAATCAGCCATAACATTATGAGCACTGACAGGTGAAGTGAATAGCACTGATTATATGGTCATCATGGCACCTGTCAGTGGGTGGGATATATTAGGCAGCAAGTGAACATTTTGTCCTCAAAGTTGATGTGTTAGAAGCAGGAAAAATGGGCAGCGTAAGGGATTTGAGCGACTTTGGAAAGTGCAATTGTGTGATGGCTTAGAGACTGGTCAGAGCATCTCCAAAACTGCAGCTCTTGGGGTGTTCCGGTCTGCAAGTGTCAGTACCTAATTCAAAAGTGCTCCAAGGAAAGTAAGTGGGGAACCAGAGAAGGTCATGGCGGTCAAGGCTCACTGATGCATGTGGGAAGCTAAGGCTGGCCTTTGTAGGTCCAATCCAACAGCGAGACTATGTAGCTCAAACTGCTGAAAAATTTAATGCTAGTTTCTGATAGAAAGGTTCAGAAACACGTGATCATAGTTTTGTATGGGCTTCAGAAACATTATGAGCACCAGGGTGCCCAGATGGTCAAAATGTTATGTCTGAATATACGCCGTATATTGCACTGAATTTACGGCGTTGCACATGTAATATTTGAAATTCTCAAACTGTGTATGACACTGAAACATGCTAACTGGGCTAGTTTGTCCCATTTTCCAATCAAAGTATTCAGTATTTTAATTTTATACTGAAGATTTATACAGTATGCTTTTACTAACACCTTTTTTTCATTTATGTGTGGGGTTTCAGAATGAAATGTGGCAGTAGATTTATTAACTCCTTGTAATTTCTTTTTGTGTTGCGGAATCTCCTCCCACTCCTTTAGTCGAGGTGGAGGAAGGTGTTTGTGCTGAAATATTAGCACTTAAACTTTGAGCCTTTAGGGCACAACCTTGTGCAATAAAACCTGTGTGTGCATGCATAAGGGGTTTTGTTTATGTATAATAGCTTGTGGTACTGTGTGGGTGTGGGTGAGTTTGAGTGTGTGTGAGAGAGAGAGAGAGGTGGGGGTCGTGGGCAGAGCTTGCCGGAAGAGTTCTGAAGCTAAATACAAAGCAGATATGGATGAAGGTTGCATTATTCACAGGATATGAAACTCTCTGCTCTCTACAGCACTTCAAAGCTTTGCCTTCATATTAGCAGCAGGCTCAAGAGAAAGTTGTTTTTTTACGAGGCTCATCCATAAATAAGGCAACCAGGAGCAGACGAAGCAGCAGAACACAAACAGGCCCAATTAAACTTTCCTCAACTCTCCATTTTAATGTGGCCCAGTTGCGCTCCTGCCTTCCTTAACCCCGTAAGTGTAGTTGATCCTCCTGCAAATGAGATTTTACACGCTGTGATATTTTTAATGTGATGCTAATTATTCATAATCCACCTTGAGCATGTCTGTGTGAATTCTTCACTCTCAGAGGAATTCAGTGAAAAAGTCAGTGCACTTTGAAGCTTAAAGTATCTCTGAAATGTCAGCATTAAGGGAACAAGAGGAAAGAATATTGTAAATTAAATTGATTGCCTGTTAACCTGGATCTTGTGTTAAAATTAGTAATACTGCTGACTAAATACGGCATCTAAACAGTGAAAACTCTGCAAATAATTTCCTCGAAGAAAAATCAGTAGGCAGCTGTAGTCTCACAGACAACATGTCTGAACCAGTGTATCCAGTGAACATGCACATTCCTAAAGAGTAACACGGTGTGTTTGAAAGGAATACACGGCCGCACATCACAATCTCATAAACTCAACATAGATTATACCAAACGGGGTGTTTGTAGTAGGGTTAAAGTCGCCCTTTATAGAAGTAATAAAGGGAACTGATTAAAGTAGTAGCAGTAATAAAAGACACAGTTTTATTGTAGACTTGTTTGTGTTCCTCAAAGAGGTCAAAGAGGTATCAAGAATGGACTGATGAAGACTAGGGCGATAATTAATAATTTACTTTTAGTTTAATCCTATCTGAAGATAATACAATCATATTATGTGTTAGTTTTCCAAAAATCAGTTGTCTTAATTAAGAGTTCCAAGCAAATGGTAATTAAAAACAAACACATTTTTTTTTACATTGTTGAAATGTATTTCAGGGGTACAAAGATTGTAAGTTAGTTCAGACTAAGTGTAAAAATGTAATATTGCTGTCACAAAAAAAAACGTCTTATGTATACCATGATAGAGATCTGATGTGATATCGCCCAACTCTATGGGAATAGTGCCATACTTAACAATAAATTACGTCAGAAATGATTTATTGCTTAAGATTACAACTGCTGTGACAAGAAATGTATTTACACAGATTCTTCCTTTGAATCTAAAAATCCGTTCAGTCAAATTTTAGTGATTTTGCTAATGTTGGCGGTGTCAGCAAATATTACAGTAAAACAGACTCTCTCTGTAAGACGTCACTTTGTTAATATGGAAAAAAAAGTTAAACCGTGGTTTCAACCCAAAATATCTCTAATATTCTTTCCCTTTGTGGGTATTTTAGTGAATGCTGTGACATCTGCAGAGACCAATCATATCTTTGACTTCTCTTCTCTGTGCTGTGATCAAAGTGTAGAAAGACAGCGAGCTGCAGAGGCTGTCATTGTGGTTTAGGAGACAGAGACACTCTCACTGCTGTCTGTGACAGCCTTTCTCTCTGCTCTATATATCGTTAACGCCATGAGCTGCAGTGTTCCAGAGAAACAGAGCGGGAAAGAGAGTTTTGAAAACATCTTTGATCCTGGAGTCGTCACTGTGCATTATCTTCTAAAATGATGTATTTGGTTCCTGATGTTGCAGAAGGTTGCTGTACTAAGTCTCCCGTAGTAGTCGAGGCAATTTCTGTTGCTGATCTGGGTTTATTTTATTTTATTCAAATTAATAGCAGGCTCTTAAACAAGAATTTATTGGAATTACAGAAGTCTTGGTAGAGAAACCTTGAAATAAACAACAGTACAAACATCAGCTTTCATCCTTTTAAAGTTAATGACATTTCAACCACGTCAAAGAATAAGGCTGTTTTCCTTTTTTCTTTTGGGTTTTTCTTTGGCAACCAAAACATGCATTACATTGGTGCCCTACTGTGCCAGTATGTTAAATCAGAAGTACCTGTCTTATGGTTCATCAGAAACACCCTCCACCTTTCAGATGTCGGGATGGGGGGGTTGGAATAGCCAGTTGTGCAGAGTTGATAACTTCTCTCTCTAGCTCTCTTTTTTCATTTGCAACTATTTCTGTCACTTTTCAGGTGCAGCACTATGAATGTCTTCCAGGATAGGACTGTTTTAAAATGTGCACCTTTCTAGCCTTTCTATACTAGTTATTTAGCATGTCAAATAGCTACATCGTGAGAGGTTTCTCAGCTCGAAAGCAAACCTTACATTGATGTTAACATTCTCTCTCTTATATTTACTCTCTCCAGATATGTCGGAGCAAAGTGAAGGAGACCCAGCAGCAGTTTTTCCACAGCCTTGCAGTGAGACAGAGCCTGGCGGTGAACTTCAACATCCAGCAAGACTGTGGACACTTCCTGGCTGATGTCCCAACCCGCCTGCTGCCCTGGGAAGAGGAAGATGAGGAGGAGGAGGAGGAAGAGGAGGAACATGTAAACAGGCAGAAGGAGAAAGAGAAAGAGATTAAGACTGAAACCAAGACGACGGATGGTAAATTAGATGAAACCCCGACAGCAGGTCACATGAACATCGCTGGCCGCTTGAAGAGCCGAGTGGTGGTCATCACGCGCGAGGTGCCCTTCCAGACGGTGGCTGATTTTGTCCGAGAAGGCGTGGCACGACACACTCAGAACCCGGAGCTGTACGAGCGCCAGGTGTGTCTCCTGCTGCTGCAGCTGTGCTCCGGCCTGGAGCACATGAAACCTTATCATGTCACTCACTGTGACCTGCGACTGGAAAACCTGCTGCTGGTCCACTGCCAACCCGGCAACCCCTGGAACCTGGACATTCTTGAACCCAATAACAACAGCAACAGCAGCAGCGGTTCTGGTGCGACCTCTGCCAGTGCCGCTGCTGCCGCCGCCAACGCCACCTGCCCCGCCCGGCTCATCATCAGTAACTTCTCCCAAGCAAAACAGAAGAGCACTCTCATGACCGCCGACCCTGGTACGCTGCGCGACCAGTCACGCCTGGCACCCGAAATTGTCACAGCGACTCAGTACCGCAAGTGTGACGAGTTCCAGACTGGGATTCTCATCTATGAGATGCTGCACCGGCCCAACCCCTTCGAGGAGACGCCGGAGCTGAAGGAGCGGGAGTACACCTGGGCGGACCTGCCCCCGCTGCCTGTTAGGTCGCTCTATTCGCAGGGTTTGCAGCAGCTGGCCAGGTTACTGCTCACCGTCAACCCCTCAGAAAGGATCCGCATGTCCGAGGCCCGGGCCTGCCTGCAGTGCCTGCTCTGGGGCCCTCGTGAGGACTTGTTCCAGGCACTGGGCTGCAGCAGCACAGGCCCCATGTCAGGGGCCACTTCCAGCCAGCGCGAGGCCACCCTGCAGAACTGGCTGGACCTGAAACGGACACTGATGATGATCAAGTTCGCGGAGCGTTCGCTGGACACGGCTTGCAGCGTGAGCCTGGAGGACTGGCTGTGCTGCCAGTATCTGGCGTTTGCCACCACAGACACCCTGAGCCGGGTGGTGCACATCCTGCAGCAGCCGCAGCCACATCCTCAGTCCCAGAGCCAGAGCCAGAGCCAGAGCCAGAGCCAGAGCCAGCCAGCGCACGCCGCACAGAACCAAACTCAAACACATCAAGCACACACCCTCCATCTGACTCAGTCACAGCCACTCTGAGTTCCTCTACCCTACTAGCTGTTTCTATGGCAACAGATCCAACTTACCCTGTGCAGTCCCTCTGCCGACGCTAATGTGTGATGTAATAGTCAGCTTTGTTGTTGCAGCAGTCACAGTGCTCACCTAAAACTCAACAGCTGGTTGTGTAATGTCTGTGTTTTCTTCATGGACAGATCAATCCATAGAGTGAGAGGCTCTGTCCCCATCAAAGACACGTGCGAGTGAATGAAGTGGTCTTACATCGTTCTCAAAACCAGACAAACTGAAACATGGAAAGTTGAAGTAATTTTGTCTCTTGGCAATGATTTTGCCAGACATCTTTTCCAAGTCCAGTTTATCTGTTTCTTTAGCTGGTCACGTGTGTGTTACAACACTCCACCAAATTTACCAAATGCGTGAGGGAATTCTTTTTTTTATCTGTTCCGCAAGACAACAGAACAGTGATAGCGATACATTAGATGCAGTTTGAATGGCAGCTGACACTGTAATGGAATATGTGGAATACATTTTTCGTAATATTCTATAGAACAGTTTCATCTACAAGATACACCACAGTTGGATTCTTTGACTTGATTTGTGGAGAGAAAACTTGAGAAAGCATCAGAAATGCAGATTTTAACCTACATTTATTTAACACTTTGTTACATAGTGTTGTATTTTAAGCAACAATTCCTTCTCCAAGAGATGCAGATTGGAAATATGTGGAGATTAAAAAGAGAAATGAAGGCAATGAGGAAAAGAGGCCCCAAACAAACTTATTAACAATTGATGGATTTGTGCTCAAATCTAATCAGCATAAGATTTTATTTTTTTAAATCTAGACAGATATTTTACCACTGAAGCCAAAGATCTGCCACAAATTGTCCATTTAAATACTCTTACAGGTTTTTACCAGAGGTGTTTATTAACGTGAATACAGTAACTAGATGTGTTATTGGTTAGTCCCAATGTTTGCACAGCTGAGATTCAAACCAGTGAAAGGTCTGGAGTTGAAATGAACAAAAGTTCCACCCTTAAATGCTGTTGTATCATACCGCACTTCACACTTCTGCACAGGGCTTTGAGGTAGGTGATGAACACTGAGTTCATTTTGGCTTTGCAGTTCTCCGAGCACAATGAACTTGTTTTAGATGCTTTGAAGTTAAAATGGGACACAACTCCCCCAACTGGTGTCTTGTACGTGCAATTAGTATCTTTGTTTATTTCCTTCGGAGATAACAGCTTCTGAACATGTTTATGACGTTATGCAGTCTTTCACTAATCTACTCTTCCATTATTTTTGTGGCACATAAAACTGATTCGTTTCAGTTAAATCCTGCAATTTAAGAAACCGAGAACTTCTTACAGTGGAAGGGAGACAGGAAGGTTTCAGGGACTGCAGAAAGTTCTTCTATGTCTATTGCGTTTTTGTCAAGTTGTTTTCGATCGGTTCTGCATTACGGATGACATTTGCACATTCAGTCTGAACGCCGGCGCCTCTCAGTGGAGACTGAGGTGATGCAGGAGAGACTGAGGAAAAGTTCCCCGTGAATTTTAGGAACTGGATTAGATTTGCAGCGTGTGGAATGTAAATGTTTGCCTGGACTGAAACAGACATTTGGACCTGGTCTCATCCGCTTCAGAAACACACTCACCTTCCACTTCATTTCACATATAAACTCTGTGTGTAAACAATCAGCCACAGCCTTGAAGAGAAACTCCGCCACTGAGGCTCGCTTCCATTCCTACCGCCTTGTTTCCCGTCCCCTTTGCTGTTATCCGGCCAATAGGATGGCAGATCCGGTATTGACGCTCACTGCTTCTCACTCAACGGATTTATTCTGCTTTAATTAAACGAGCTCCGTGTTATCGATCAGTACCTTCCAGCCTGGAGTCAAGCGGACATAGTTCACGTACATGTGTCAGCTTCCACATAAAGACAAGAAGAAACAATTTGAGTTTTTATACACATGGGGTTTATTTGTGGTAATGATGATCAAACCACCTTGAAAAGCATCTTTAACTCAGAACTGAACAGTACTCCGTGTACTTTTGTGCCGCATGTTCCCGTTGATATGCACCTTGGTGGAAGATGTTTTCAAACTGACACTGCAAAAAAGCTTTGCATCTAAAAGTTTACTCTGTTTGCTCTGGTTAAGTTTGTCTGTTCATATCCGAAAAAAAAAAACTTCAGCGTTTCTTGTTTCCTAGGGGGAAAATGTACTTTTGGGATCAGGATCCTGTGATCGTTCTGCCGCAGATGTACAATACAACGCTTAATGGTCCATGGAGCGAAAATGAGACAAAGCAGGTGTGTGTTTGATTGCTGCATTAAAGGGTTTGTGTACTGAGGAATGTGTGTGGACAGCACTGGTTGCTGTCCTTGTGTCTAGAGATTTAAGCCTTTATATAGTATATATAGTATAAATATATATAACCTTTATCTATTTTAATCCGCACACTATTTTGTCGAGTACGGAGCACCTCTATTTCTGTCTTTAGAGAGTCTAAATATCATTTATTCATTTTTAAAGCTTTACTTGATTTTCTTTAACCTGGCTTGTTTTGGGGGGAAGAAAAAGTAGTTATCACTGTCCTAATCAAAGGATACATGAAAAAGATATTTTAACCTTCAAGCCACATGATAAGGAGCATTAATATACAGAACAATGTACAGTATTTTTAGCCCTCTTGTAAAGTTATCTGCTTAGGACACGAACCACTTTGAAAAGAGGCAGAAGGATGACTTTTGAACGCACCATTATAACCCATCATTCATCAACTGTACGGCCTACAGCCAATATTGTTCATTTTCTCTCTTTGATCTGGTTTTTCTCGTTGCGTTGTTAATTGCCACTGAACAGAAAAACAGAAGCTCTCTAAAGCTTTCTATTAATATGTGTCCAATATGTCTCCTGGCCTGCCGCCATTTATTGTTGATCAAGTTAACCAACAGTAACAGAACAATAAATATATGTTTTTATATATATACACTTTGTGCTGTTGTATTATTGATGTTGTGGTATGCTTGATTTTACCCTCCAGGAGAGAAAAGTTCGTTTATAGAAACTGGACAGATTGTAAAGGTGCTCAGTCAATCAACTAGTGTTACTGTACTTCAGTAGATTCAGATACAGACTCATTTTATGGCATTCGCTGCTTGTCAAGTATTTCGTTGTGTTCTTGAGTTAGATTTTTAGGATGAAGAGTTGTTTGTGCTGTGCAACCCTTTGTTTTCAACCCTTTTGGACCTGGACCGATGCTCCAGCGTACAGATTTCAGCAAAATAAGAACTGTCCTCGAGCCTTGGGCTGCTAATGAGCCTTTAAATTATTTACAGTGACCATACTAAAACTGGAAACATATTCATCTTCTCAGGGGTTTGGAACATCAACCAAAGCTCAAGCTCAATCTCAATCTGAGTGTTTGAATTAGACCCTTTTTTTTCCTTCCTTTTTAAGAACTTGCACATCGTGTTGCTTTCCCGCTGGATCTCAGCGGAGCCATACTGTATATGTTAGTGATACAGAGATTCTCGCACTGCTCTCTGGGTGCACGGAGTTATTGAGTTATTAATTAAATCTCTAATGTTGCAGTCTGATGTTTCTGTCTGCGTGGATCGATGGATGTTTTTCAGAATATTAGATTTAAAGACTCACAGAATGGTTAAATTAATGAACCAAATTTCTTCCAGCTCACTGTTGATCAGTGAAGTTTATTTGGGGATTCTTCTTCTATATTTCTAAGTGACATGACAGTGACTATGTTTACATACACACTACCGGTTATTTTCCACTAGTTTTCCAATATGACAATATTCCACATTTGGTAAGGGTCATGTAAACACCATAGTCCATTTGGATATTCCTAATTAGGCCTTACTCCAAATGGAGAATTTTTTAATTAAGTTATGTGGAACGGAACATGCTGATATTATTCAGGTTTTAAAAACATTTTCTTAAGACATTACATGTTCGGAATATGCATCTTATTTGGAGTTTTTACACAGTTTGCAACACACTGCCTCTTGCCTATTTAAGGTCAGCTCTGCGTTGTAAACAAACCAACAGTTTGCAAGGCTGGAATACAGATGCATGCACAAAAGAAAAGCCCACATGTCTGGTTGGAAGGGGAGACACTTAATTATTACAAAATACTTGGATATCAACAGGTTTTTGTGCACAAATATCTAAATGCCAACCTTTGCAAGATGGTTGAACGAATGAAAGAGGGAGGATGTGTTGGCACGTTTGAACAAGTCAGCTGGTGCAAAAATCCTAAATGACCCAAGAGACCCAGCTTTTCCACTTTTACCACAAGGGTAACATGACTGCAGACAAACATCTAATCTGATCAATAAATCATAACTGAGCACCAAGGCCTGCAGTGTGACTGTGGCCTAAATGAACGCTGTGAAGATAAGACAAACATTGATGTTCTCTGCACGTTATTGAAATTTCTTCTGTCTCGTTCTTCAGGCCGAGTGGCTAAAAAAAGACTGTGTACACAGACTTTGTAAAGTAGGTGTTTTATTGCTTGGAAGTAGTTCTGCCCGAACATACAGTACTTAGGTCCACCACCAGATGGAGACATTCAAAAGGCAAAGAAAAGCCGGAATGCACCATTTTCCTGCTAAGCCTCTTATAAACTGGCTACAGTTTGTACTTTGACTTTATGCCACATTCAGTTGCGTTTGGCTGAAAGCTGTGAAAACACGCTGTATTAATTTTACAGGACAAACATGAAAGCCTTGTACAATTTTATGATGAAACTGCTTGAACCAAAATGATGAGATGATCCTGTCTAGACTGAGATTATACTCTTATCTAACATAATGTGTCTTACTCGGCTGTCTCTCATCTTTGTAATTGAAAATGGGGGAAGAGAAAATCCTTCCCATCCACTCTCCTGTGTTGTGCAGTAACAGTAAACTCCATTTGGATGATTAGGATGCTCTATTACTTTATTGCTGTGATAATTCCTTCTAGATTCAGTTTTCCTGTTGCTCATCAGGCAAATTGCCACAAGTAGAGTTCTGGTTCACAGGTAAGGAGGTAGTTTGTTTGAGTAGATTGCTCTGCCGTTTGCAAACAAGGTTTTGAGTTCCCCTTTCAGCAGATGAATGTGAAACCATCCTATTGTCAAACTCTGCACATACATCATTCTGCACAGTGAGTTCAAACATCCAACTGTAGGAAGAAGAAGAAAAACAATCGTTTTGAGTGGAGGAGACTTGAAAACGAGGGCGCACATGTTGCCAGACGAACCGTAGCTGCACCTTGTGCTTCTGATGTACTGTAAGTGCTCAATGTAAATACCAAGAACAATCACTGCACTGCGTCTACCTGACTCTCATCTACTGATGTGGGGATAAAATCAGGGTTTACTGTTGTGGTGACTATTTCCTGTTAGCAGCACTCCTCGCGTTCTTCAGTCTGGATCCAGAGTGATGCTTCAGTAGGTTTTATGACCTGCACTGTGAGTCATTACTTAATCAATAATCAAGTTGCATTCAGGTCAAAGCAGGTCAAACTAGGGCTCAGGGGACCTCGATGGCTCCCTGCATGAGGCTGGATAGGATCCTCAGCAGGCCACTGTGAAGGAAATAACATCTGTAAGTCAAAGTATCTTCATGATATTGTCCCTGGAAAGGAAAGGAACAAGTTCATCAAAATTCAACTTCAGTAAAATTTAAAGAAAAGACACATTTTTCATTAAAATATCTGTCAACAATGTGTCTTCCAGGTGATCAGATGAAGGCAAAAAGGTGTGTTGAAGATGCAGTGAATGTTTTTCATAGATGAAAGATGGAATAAATAACAGCAGGAAAATGGGGTGGAGTCATTCCTAGTTTCTTGTACAACTGTTTCATCATTCAGCCCGCTGACTAAATCCGTTCCTGCATCGTCATCAAACTTTCAACATGCAAACTTTATTTTTCCAAGAAGCTTAATAATATATATATATTAAAACACAAGTGTGTCCTCAAATGTCTGGATTGGTTTGCCTTTCCAATAATTATTATAAGCTGTGACTAAAAGATTTATTAATAGCTAATAAATAATGTATTAATGCTTTAAAGATCAGTAATAATTTATTGGATTTACTGGATCTGCCTTTTGTTTATCCTTCTACAATATAACTTGCTCCGACTTTATTATCTATTAGGCAATAATACATTATTAATTAACATTAATAAATGTTCATAAGGCGTTCCTTTATTCAGACAGTGGCACCTCAAATTTTTTACGTTAATCGCTGTATTGACTTTGCTGCAGAGCCAGCAGTCCTTTCATTTACCCTTAAGTCAATTCCCTCGATGAGAGGATGAATAAAGATGAGTGTTTTGCTATCAGAGGTGCCATCGCTGCACCCTGCCCACCTCCACTGTAGGCAGTTATGTAATTCACACTGAATCATCCCCAACAGCTGAAAATGATGATGATGAAGAAAAAGAAGGGAGGAGTGAGAGGAGGAGAAAGAGTTATTCTTGGACAGGAAATTGTGGAGATGGAGTGTATGAGGATGAAGAAGGAATATAAAAATTTGTGTTGCCCCCCCCCCACACCCTCGTTGCATAACAGGTGTGTGTGTGTGTGTGTGTGTGTGTGTGCGCGGGGGTCCTCCTCAGTGCTGCTGTTGCTGCTGTGGACCCTTGGAGGAGGAGGAGGCGGTGGTCTTGTTATTGAGCGGCCCGGCGGTGGAAGTTTCGCTGCAGGGGTGGGACTTTCTTTCTGCAGTCGGTCGGTCGGGGGTGAGCTGCGGCTCACACAGAAATGCCTCTGGCAGCAGCTTTCCAGACTCCAGCGAGCAGCAGTGGAAGATAAACCCTCCTCCTCCTCTTCTTCTTCATCCTTCTGCTCCTCTTCCTCCTCCAGCTGGCCGAGTCTGAGAGCTTTCGGATGCGCTGAAACGGGCGGAGTGTGAACGCCGTTTCCCTCTTCTCCAACCCTCCACCCCCCCAACCCCCAGGATACACAGACCGGACCGGCACCGGTGTCATTGGATGGAGAGAGGCGCCTGAAGAAGGGAGAGCGGTGGAGTTGGTCTACCCCCCTCCTCCTCCTCCTCCTTCTTCCCTACTGCACCAAAAGAAAACTCCGGGTAAGAAATGCGTGCTTAGCTCATGATCCTCTGCGCTCCCGCACTCCTCTGTGCACATCACGCAACATGCATCATGGCGAGACTTGGGACCCCCTTCTGCTTCTTTGTTGACAGTGAGGGGATTAATGTACAGCGTGTGAGGCATTAGCTGCGCTTGTGAATGCATCTGAGCAGACGGAACGGCAGGCTTTTTCTGGCACGGCATTACGCTCTTCTCTTTCAGTCGACCCAAACATTGATTCGCATCGCTCCTGATCCAGGAGCCAGGTTATCGGCTGTGGGAATGGACTGATGCTCCGGGGGTTAGAGGAGGGATAACAAATGGCACCCCGAGCAGCGGGAGCTGTCCGTTCAGCACCACTCTGCTGAACTCCAGCTGGAAACTGTGGCCTAAAAGAAAAAAAGGTTTGAGGAGCAGCTTTAGGGATGCGGTGTAAAGTGAAGACAACTCAAAGTCAGGCTCAGTCAGTCATTTGTTTGCAGAATAGAGTTTACTCCTCTTTTTTAGAGCTGCCATTTATCTTTAGGCCTTAAACACTGAGGACAACCATTGTGAGACTAGGTGTCCTTTGAATCAGGTCTATGGATAGAAAGTGTAATATCCTGTGGGAGTGTGGAGCCCTTTTAGGCTGATTTATGATTTTTTTGGGGGAAAAAAGATTGAAATTGACTGGACTGTATGCTTTTACTGAATATTAATACATTATGCTGGCTATAACCTCCATGTTTATTCTGATCCCAACACATACAGTGGTGTAAGAACTCTGCCTAAATGAACTGCAGTACACAATTCAAGTTCAATCATGAAATATGTGATCAGAGAATGATGAAGATTGAGACTTGAAGCATTCAGCTCCATCTTTTTTTTACTTTTTCAAAGTTTTCTCAGTACTGAGTCCTGATTTAAATTTTGCTGTCAAATCCAACAGTGTGTTTGCTTTTGTGCCACTTGATTGGTTTAATCAGTGGTTCCCAACCTGGGGTTAGGACAACAAAAACAACATATTTGTAAACATAAATTTTAATATATGTTCTCTTTTGGGGGGTCAACGGTGGTCAAACTGTGGGTGGAGTTCAAGTTTTACTTTTTGATTAAGAAATTTTGAATATTTTTACCACTTCAGACACTAAACTCTGTGCAAAAATCATATTTATTCTGCGAACTTTGTGTCAGAGACCTTTAAGGCAAAAACAGGAAGCAAGTGAAAGCAGCAGTAGGTTAAAGGGACATCACCGGATTAACCTTATTGCAGAGTACCAAGGTGTCATCAGGTGGACCAGTGTAATATTTCAGGATCGTGTTAACAATGTGAGCCTGCGGAATGAAAGTAGTAATATAAGACAGTGAATAATGTTTTTTTTTTCTGAAATCTGAAAGGTAACATCACTCTTGTTAAAGTGCTGAAACATTACACAACCTGTAGCAAGGGGTTGGAAGTACATCGCTTTGCTTTAAAGGGTCACAAGCTGAAAAGGCTGGGAATCTGTGTCTCACTGAGAGGATGAAGATGCTACATTTGCCTTGAATGTCGCTTTCACCTGTTAATCCCCTAAAGTTAATTAGATAATGACACCCGTCAATAACATAATCTCCACTGGTGTGTTTGGTTGGCTAAATGCTTCTACCCAATCCGGTCATTCGAGTCTTTCAGAAGTTTTATGTTTGTGTGGCTGTTTGTGATGTTTGGAGCTGGCTATGCTATTATTCACTGTAACTAAAGCTGACCGATTGTCTCTCTAACACTTTCTTGGCTTTATAGACGTCCTGTAGCCTCCCATACTTTTTTTTTTTTTACCCTCTTGGCTTCCTTTCTGCGTTCCATCTTAAGATATAAAAGTTACTACCTCGATTAGCTTTTCACATCAATTAACAGTTAGGCTAAAATATGTGTAGGAGTAGACGTTCTGCCTCTCAAAGCTGTGATTTTAAAATGATAAAACGCATTAAGGATCCAAAAGAGGAGTGTTGACCTAAAACCACCCAGGTTTGTTTAAGATATTTTAAACTTAGAGGGGAGAAAAATGAACTCGTTAGCACAATCTCACACTCTTCTTTTTCAGCTATTAGAGTGTGGCCCCCACAGCTTTGTAATGATGCTGGAGGTCTGTCTGAAGTGGCTTACGTGTGTGTGTGTGTTTGTGTGTGTGTGTGTGTGTGTGTGTGTGTGTGTGTGTGTCTCACTCCTAAACCAATATCAACCAAAGACTACAAGTACTAGCCAATCAGAGGCAGAGTAGGGCAGATCATGTCTTTGCCACCCTGGGGAAAATAAGTTGTCATCCATAAATGTCACATTGCAGCGACACAGACCCCAACAACTGTGATTGGTCCGCTTGGTGTGTGTGTACATTGTCTGAGAATGGAAGGCGACTCCTGCAAAACCCAGATGAGTTAACAATGTCGTATGAGAATCCCTCTTCAAACACAAACACACACACATTCGGAGAGTGTGTCCTCTCAAACACAGAGACAAACTACACGCATACAGGTACGCTTAGCAGGTACACAGTGAAGACACTGTGCGTTAGTTGGCTGAATCCTTCGACACCTCATACTAACACGGCACCTTCCCTTCCCTGCGTGCCCGTTGAACTCCCTCGGAAGAAGAGCATTATTACATTAGGAAAACGGAGAGCACTTAGATGAACACTGGAGACATGTGACTCTGTGAGTGTACTGTAACGCAGACGGGCCCGCTGCCATTATCAAAATGGTCTTCCCTAAGATTGAGCGGTCGCTTACACCTTAATGTATCACAGCTAATATTTCCAGAATAGATCCTGTAATGGATTGCCTCATTTTATGGGGAAAGCCTGTGGTCAGAGCATTTTGCTGCCAAATGAAGGTAGAGCTCACTTCTCTTGGAGATGCCTCGAAATGCTGCAGACTGGAGAGAGAATAATAAAAAATCAAGTATCGCAAGATGAATCATATTCATGAGATTAGACTTCTAGAAGTTATTAGGCATTAAACAGTGCTGGCAACATATAGAACTGCTTTATTGACCGTTATCCTAAAGCACAAGTTTGTACATTTTGAGAAATATTTTGCTTTCTTGATGAGATTGATGCGACACTCACATCTGTACTGTAAGATATGTAGCCAGAGTTGGTTAGCTTAGCATAGGATAAAGACTGGAAACAGTTTGCCTGGCTCTGTCCAAAGAAGAAAAAGCTTTATTACATTTTACATCTTTTTTGTTTAATCAGTACAAAAATTGGCAGTTTTATAAGTGGTTCTGTGCCGGACTATATTTTGACTGGTTACCAGCCATTGGTGGCTTAAGTAGTGAGCCTGAGAGGAGCTGGTTTCATTTCTGCCAATAAATCCTCCTAAATGTTACACACTGGAACTTTAAAAGCTTTGAAAACATGAAACCCCAGCATCTCGCTCCCAAACTGCTGCTGTTAGACATTGCAAATGGCATGCCGGTACTGTCAAATGGAGCACAGCCAGTGCTAAGCTTAGCAAGCTAGGCTAACTAGCTTCCACTTTCTGAGCACCACAAGGCCTCCACTTACACAAAAAGTGGGGAGAATATTCAAGTTTGACATAAAAGTTAAAAGTCTGCATGTCTATGATTCAATCTAAGATTTAACCCACAAAGAAGCAAGGCTACAGAGTGGAAGCATAAAAACGGTGTCACTGTGCAGATACCTTTGGATCTGACTGCAGTTACTCAATAGTTAATCAATAAAACTGTGGCTTGGCTTCAAATCCTTGCTCTTCCCCACTTTGGAGAATTTAGGCTTCCACCCATTTTCACATTACTGAGAGTGAGTGAACCTTTTTCCAAAACATTAAATTGGGTCTGACAGACATTTTTGCAGCACTAAGTGCTTTCCCTGTACTGTATTAGCCTAATTGTGAGGATGTTAATCTATAAGTAGCAGATAAAATCAGTTATTGTAGTGGGGGGTCAATGATCACATAATTCAGCTTTTCAGCCATTAACATCAGGGCCCCAGACTGAGACTCCAAGATTGCAAAAGTAATGAAAAGTCAGTGGCATGGAAAACATCCATCCAGGTGTGGAAATAAATGGGACACACTCAGTAACTTCTTTAATTACCCTGATGACTGGGGTTGTATTGGGATCCACCCACATGTGTGAAATCATGATCAAGCTGACATTGGAAGATAATGTTTCAGTCATTAATTACGGTAACGAAAGGCAAATAAATATTATTTTACATAATTATTCTGTAGTCAATTCAACCAAATAAGTGTTCTGTCTCTGTTTGTTTGGTTCTGTTGTACTTTTACAGTTTGAATATTATCTGTTTCAACATTCTGATGTTTCATGTGATTTAGAGTGAAGTCAGCAGGCTTTTTCACATAAGATCATCACAGTCTGCACAGAGAGCTTTTCTGTCTCTGGCAAAGAAGGAGAGAAAATATTTAACCTCCAGATTTTTGGAGACAAATCAAATTCCAGTTGAGAGTTGTTTAAGTAGCTCTGGACTGAATTATCAAACTAGACAGCGCAAACAATTCACTGCTTGCTGTTACACTCAAAGACGCCTTTTCCTTTAATTCCATTTTGAGTTCAGTTGACTTGCAAACATCATCTTTTGCAAAGCAGAGTCAAGTCTATATCTCTGTTAGTAAGATCAGTTGAAACAGATCATGAAAGACATTTTGGTGCTCATTCATAATCACCAATCATTGTTGACTGATGTTGGATCCTGAATGAAACCGGTTCAAGAACCAGATCTAATTTGGTTAAAAAGGGGTCCTTCTGGGTCCACACTGGTCTCCCCAATAGTTCCCATAATCATAGATGTAACGTGACTATGTAGCAGGCTGATATTGAAACTAAATATCAGGAAATGTAGTATTTTAATAGTATTGTGTGTTTTTAAATCAATTCTCCACGTACAGCTGGAGGCAGCTCAAAGAGATAGATTGCCATGCAATTTGATATACACATTCATTTTCTTAATTCCATCAGGATCAATGGTAATAACTTTAGTGATCCCTTAACTTTTATACTAGC